AGTGGAAAAAAAAAGAATATTCTGCAGCGAGGAGAAACAGGAAATCGCCCATCGTGATTATCATTTCTACGATTTATCCTCCACTCGCGGATAAAGCTCCGAAAAGCATTCACGTGCGCGTTTACACGCGTTCTCCTCAGTCGCCGTGAGGGAGAGATATGCTGAGGCAAAGCCGAGAACGGCCGGAGCCGTCTCGAGAGATTCAAAAGGTGCTCGACGGGGCCAGGCGTGGGCTACCCGTGATCATCATGACAAAAGCTCGGGGCAAACATCCGTTCAATTTATTAGCTTATAGGTAACGCCGTCTTCGTACTACCTACTATACACCACCTACGACACCAGCCACGGATCGCTTATAATACCTACAACATTATGGGCATGCTCCCAAGCTAGCACGAGGCCCCCCTTTTCTCCCTTTTTTGTCGCTCGGTGGCCCGCTGCACCCTCCCAAGGCGAGCGATCCTGTCCTCCCCATAGAGTTCCAGTTTTTACGGTCACGACAGACCTGTGACATTTTCCGGATCCCAGGGGATAGAGAAAGACTGTTCGCAACGTGTTTGTTCAAGGATTAACTTCCTAACAATTTAATGACAAGTTTACGATAAATGGTTAGTGCAAAGAAGAATATTTATTTTTTTTTTTTTTTTAGAAAAACGACCTTTTGTTGAAGCATTAATAATCTTGGGGTTATGCGCGATTAAAAACGAGAAGAATTCTGATGATTATAATTATTAATTGTTTGCTTTATCAGAGTATACGTTATTATATGCTTTGAATTAATTGAAAATTTTAATAAGGTATTTATGAAAAGAATGATTTTGCTGAAGTATCTAAAAATTTGGATCTGAAAATAATTTTGTTGGTTATCAAAATACCTAATTGCGTGTAGCGCTGCTGATAATATTGTAAACAGTTTTGACATTCTATAAACAACCAAAACATTCTACATAACTATTTTTTAATCTGTATCTGATTAAATTTTTAGCAAAACAGTTTTTTTCGTGCACTAAAAAAAAGAGTTTAGTCTTAGTTATCAAAAATGTTGATTGAAATAATATATTTCAATTAAATTAATATAATCAAAAATAATTTTACTTTTCTAAATATTCAGTAATTGTTACCAAATATTTTATTATATATTTAATAATACTCGTTAAATATTTAAAGAAATAAAATTATTTTTGGTTATATTACATTAATCAGAACATTTCATTGAAATTTATTTATTCAACATTTGGTAGCTGCTACTTTTTTCAGTATGTAGGATGACAAATCTTTAATCAACTTGATTTGATGTCTTTCAGATCTTCGAGATCAAAACGAGAGTGTAGACGTATAAAATCATTATCTCAAGAATATTTTATTATCTTGTTAAGATGTTTTTATCGAGCGTTACAAGCATTGTTTTTAAAGGAACTCGATATGTCTCGGATTTAGCAATCTCTCGTTTCTCGTACGTATCCGTGCCATGCGGGACGCGTGAAAACGCGTACATGTTTCCAATTAAGGAATAAAAGAGATATTTCAGACTGAGGATTAACTTTTATCGAACGTTTACAACGGGAGGAGAGATAGCGGAATATTAAGTTTCGCGCGGTTTATCGCCAATCTCGCGGTAAAGGCAGAAATCGCGCCGTAAATTCGCGCATTTATTCTACGCGGTTTCGAGTTCCCACATTAATAAGCAGGAAAACGCATCGAGACGAAGAATCAACGTACGTATCATTCATTCGTGAATTAAACCACCACACATCGCCAACTTTGAAATTTGTCAAAGTGTTTATTTCACACATTCGATCATGTCCCTAATATAATACAAGTATTATTGATGGCTTTTACATGAAAAATGTAAAACGGATGAAAAAGAAATGTAACAATATTTTTTGCCATTGAAATAATTCGCTATTTAAATCCTGCTGACAAAATCCAGCTGACATAATCCAGCTGACAAAAATCAGTCTATCGTGTGGCATTAAAATTCTGGCAGCTCAATATTATTGCAATTGATGAAAGTTTATTTGTTATAAATGTTATATAATTGCTTATATATTACATTTTATAGTTATTTAACTCTTTTTACATTAATACTTTTAAGGTAGCGACAAAAGCAGTCCATTTATTGATTGCATTTTAAGTTCCATACTGATTTAGTTTTATTTATACTATATAATTATTTTTAGGTATGAAGGAAAATATAATAGTACATTTATCAATTACATTTTAAATAGATTATTCCACAAGTATCGTACTGATTCAATTCTTTTTGTACAAATACTTTTAAAGTGTAATAGAATTTTTGCATATGTGTGCAAAATATTTTCACTTTAATTGATTAAAACTATTTGTCTTCTATGACCAGTCAATTAATAAAATTTCCTGTTGTAATTCCCGACTTCTCGAGTACTATTATTCCGTCTCATTCCATGAACTTCAACTTTTCATTATCGCACGGCAACTTCGCGCCTGCGACGCCACTTTATCAGAAAAGCAGACGGCGTTTTATTGCCATACGGACTCGCGCGGCCTGAAATTTTCTTCTCAATATCAGCTTTATCGGCTCAGCGACTTTGCATGTAAATGCTCGAAATTATAGTCGATCAACTGCGATTTTGCTTCGAAATTTTCATTCCTTTAATCCTTACCATGTAAACGATACGCCCGTTTTTTTCCTCGCGGCTTACGTGTTGCTGCAAAATTCATCAAACTCTTCTCTCTCTCTCTCTCTCTCTCTGTCAAGTCACTTTCCGATTATCTTATGCATAATTTGAAATAAACTTTTTTTCCGATCATTCCCAATGAATACGTTTTCACGAATGGCGAGAAATTGGCTCGTCATCGATCGGCCAACGACGACGGCGACAACGGCGAGGATGGAATATTATCCATGGACAACATCGACGCCCACGATTAACGACCTGCGCCGATAACCCATGGGGCCCACGCTTCCACCCTGATGGGGTGTTGTCCCGGCTCATTCGTTTTACGAGGCCATTTTCGGCGCGCGCGGTCACTCGAGGACTCGTCAACGATCACGCGAGCGCGAGAAGAGACTGAGGGAATTGATATGAGGGCGTGAAAAACGGCACTGCGAGCATCGCCAATGTTGCTACGTTAAACTAATCCGCAACTCGCTTGTTCAGCCGTCGGATTTACGAAGGCGACGGTCCTTCGTGATGTCACCGTCTGTGAGAGAGAGAGCGTCCAAATAGATTTTTTATTTTAACAACAATTTAATTTAACACACGCGAATAAAAAAGGCCGTATTCGAAGTGGTTCTTCGTGCCTAACATTTTTTGTGAGTTTATACAATTTCTAGTTTGAACTGAAAATATAATACGTAATTTGTTTCATCGGTCCATTTTCACTTAATGTAGTCTAATTTGAAACTTGACAGTCTGATTCTGACGACAAATCTGTGACAGCTACTGACACTGAGTCTGTAAGACCCGTTTAATTTATGTTAATCAAAAGGTACTAATTAATTTTAAGGAAACAAAATAGCATAACTTCTATAAATAGGAATGAATATGAATGTGTTTAATAAATAAATAAATAAAATAAAAATTGATTTGTTTGACATTTTTGATAAAGGGATTTATAATTGAGTCTATATTCTTACGCAGAAATCTAATACTGACTAATTTATTACTGAAAAACAGTAGGTAGTAAGATGATATCATTTTGAACATATAATATAATTCTGCAGAGAATGCTTGATTTAAATTCACTTTTCGAAATTCAAAGCTTCTTTTGGCTTCTTCTTATCTGATACCCTTTAGTGTTTTCCGCATGTGATCAAGGTTACTAAATTTGGACCTTGAAATTAAATTGAAATCTTTTTTCGTTTCAACTTGTATCATGTTACTCTAATTGATAACTTATTCAAGACACTAAAAGTATTAAACAACAGTATTTTTACTATTTAAAATAAATAATTAATTATTGTATTTTTTAATATTAAATTAATCAGTATTAAATTTCTATAAGGACGATAGACCGCCAACTTGGGAATGTTGTCCTAAAATTGAGCATTTCAAAGAAAATAATCTCAAAATTTTCTCTGAGACTTAAGTCCTTTTAAGTTTTACATTTTTTTAAGCCAAGGAATCTCTTTAAAATCTGAATATAATCATCGTCGGTGTTATATTCATGGATTATATATCCCCGGGGCGTAATCGAACGCGACGGGAAGAGAGTTCCCCGTGCCACGTAATAGCGGTAGCATGTCCAACGGTTCCGACATTTCGCGTCCGGCGGCCATTGTGCGCTAAACTCCGAAATAAAGGGGAGATACGCCGCGGCCCAGAAATTACGCATCCGCTGAAAGGCAGGCGCAAATTACAGAACGGTGTAATGGCCGGGGTGCATGAAGCGCCTTATCGCCGACAATTTCTGCAGGAGGAGGAAAATCTTGCGCGCGAAATTATTCTACGTAGATTATATGGAGATCGGTGCTCGATTTTACACGCTTCGTTGGCGACGCACTAATGTTTAACCGTTTTGACGCCGAACTGACTATGGATTGCATTGAGTGCGTTGGTAATCTTTAAAAAAATCACCCAGATATTTAAATTGCATAAATTTCTCCTTAAGAATAGCCGTAAAATGAGTAAATAACTATTTACGCTATAACGCTATGAATACGAGTAATCAGAAATTATAGAATATTTGTGACTAAAATTGCATTGTAGAATAATTAGAAACTCCAATTATTACTTTGTAATATTAGTAATAATATATATATACACTATACATATATATTTATATAATTACATCTATAATTTTATATATCAAAAATATGTTTGCCGAGAAATAAATAGTTGCTTCAGCATTAAAAAGAATCTGCGTTAACGTGTTGAAATAAATATAAAAATTTCAGCACTTTTTAAAGATTTTAATTCAATTTTAGAATTTTATGTCTCCTAAAAAAGCTCTGACTAAAAGTGTACTCGATGACATCTAAATTGATTATAAATGAACGATTTAATTGGTCCTCTTACCTGACCGTGCTTATCCATGTCGTTGTTTGTCAGCTTGACTTTCTCGAAAGAGACGACCTGTTTCCGCAGTTGCTCACCGGTGAAGGGTGAGTCGGGATGAACGTAAAGTCGCACAGGCGCCGGTGGATCCGCTTTGCCTGCCTCTAACCAACAGCTACGGTGATAGGCGTATCGATACCTCTTGTTGTCGACCGGCACGATGTCCATTAATACTGCATAACGACCCTCGGACTTGAGTCCGGTAAAGGATACCCGGCACGTCGGAAACATCCGTCTGCGAAAGAATGCAAAAATAATATAATAACAAGCGTATATAATAATCACGAGTACTAATTCGAGTTAAATAATAGGGAATTTATTTAGATAAACAAATTATACGCGTATTTCACGCAAAATATTATACTCACCCGCATAAAAAACGAGTCAGTGTGCGCAACGTTACAATGGCCCATTTTTTTTTGCGGATATCTGTACTTAGAATCTTATTTTTTTAATTACATTTAATTATAGTTTACTCGCACAAAACGATATTAGATCGTTTTGAGAGAAACAAGATAAAGAACTTAATTTAAACCTAGATAATTATATGTATAATTATATGTATACATATGTATATTTGTGAAATGTGATAAATACTAAAGTTTAAAGCGACAAACAAAAACGAGTCTCGATCTTTATCGTTTGATATCTGGTGCATATAACCTAGTAATCGCAAAATGACGTAGCAAAATCAAGGTAAAACCTTTGCACTTCGTGACCGCTTTCACGATCGTTGTAGTCTCGCAACGGTAGAAGTTATTAATTATAGAACAGTGCCTGCAACAAGTTTTCTTCAACAGCGTAAACGTTTCACCGCGCGTGCAGTATAACTTTCTCAACAGTTAAAACGCTTTTCTAAGTTTTATAATCTTGCTCCCTTTTTTGAGCGTAGTCCCAAGAGATCATTCATTCATCACAAAACTAAGAAAATGTCAAATCTATTTGCATTTATCATCATTGTCATATTGTCAGTTTCTTCATATTTGTTTGAATATGTTTCACTTAGTCATGCCGAATTTAACTATAGGTAGTTCGATCAAAAGAAACGAGCGTTTCGTTTTTTCGTCGGGTTTCGGCACAAAAACCGAGCTTCAGCCTTGAATTGGTCGCGTCTGCAGTCGACCTTTCAACACTTCAACTACGTCGGGCCGCACGCGCCTCCGTCAACAATGCGAAGGCGCGCTGAAAATTTCCCGCTGGCCTAGCAGGGAAAATTGTAGCCTGACCTTCATCCTCATGTTCTCGACCGAAAGCTTTCATCCAGCCCACAATGTATGTCCTCGTTGCAACCGCACGCAATGGACTCGCGTCCTGTGATTTACGCGCCTCGTGGAAGAACGCCAGACATTTTTCCGCGATCAAATGATGAGATACGTCAATAGCGATTTTTTCACAGTGAAAAACTGGCTACCCAGTTAGTTTATCGTTGAAAATGTCGAGCTTGGGTCGGACGTGATAGGGGAATAGAAAAATTCGTTTATTCCGAAACGCAATCACGCCATTTCGCTTTATATAATTTATTACATAATTGCAAACTATGTAAGACGTAATATGATGAATACTTGATGCATGTAAGATCCCTCGTTATTTTATTTAAGAGACTACTGCACGGAAAAAACGATTTCGCTGAATTATTAAAAAAGTGTTTGTTAGATACAGAATTTGAAAATAATTTTGTTAAATTATTGTGAGACTATTAAAATAATTATGTCAAATCTCAAATATGAGCAATGCTGTAAAAAGTTTTGACGTTCTAGCAACCTGCTTAAGTGTTTTATATAATCCCTATTTTGATTGATCTAACGAAATTATTTTTAAATCTGTGTCTAATTGAATTTTTAGATACACTGAAAAAATACAAAAGTTTAATAAATATTTGTTTGAATATAAATGAAAGCAAATATTTAATAAATGTACACATGTATTTAATTGATACCATTAATTTGATTTTATTATTGTTTTTGTTGAGTAAATATTTATTTACTTAATATTGTTCAAAAAAATATGTATTAGAAAATTCTGTTCAGTGTACTTCAACAAGACGTTTCCATATTACGTGTATGTAATTCTTGATAACTGTACTACGCATGCGCTATTACAATTCTAATCTAATTATTCTTGCGCTAGACGTAGGCTTGATCGAACCATCAGAGAAGATTGAAGATGATGGATCCGCCTCGACATGCCTGTCGAGGTCGGCCAATGGTGTGTCCAGGACCGTGCAATCCACTAAAAGCTCATCATCACCATCATCACCGTCATCATCATCATCGTCAGAAACTCGACATGACGAAAATTGTCACTCCAGGAAAAGACATACTCTTGCCGGATGAGTTTTCTCAAATAACGCTGCTAAAATCTTTAAAGACAGAAGATTCTGTTACATCTGTGACTTCGAAAGACGATTTATCAATCTCCACAACCTCATCCTCCACCAAAATCGCTGTGATCAGAATCCCGAAAACTTCTCAATCCAGAAAAACCCACATCCCTGCGGGATACATATCACAAATCTTGTCGCCGGACAAACTGGAGATGCTCGGACAACCGTCGAAACCGAGAACAGAGAAGATGAGCGAGTTGATTCCTTTAAGAAAAATTGAATCGCCGATCCCAGAAGCGAGAACGACAATCCAACCGAAGGAAACAGCTGCGAGGACAACACCGTATCAGGCACCAAGGAATTATTTGAATAACGTAATATGCCCGATTATGATGAGACTGTACAGATTAACGCTGAAGATAATGTCGCCTCTTTGTCTGTGTCTGACGATCCTGATGATCTACGTAGGAATTCACGTATTATTGGCTGTAATCGCGCGAACATCTGCGTACCAGTTTTTCATGTCCAGTCAGATCTGCGGGGTCCTCGCGTTTCTTATGTGGCAACTGACCGGCACGATACTAATCTGAGCCACGCGAATAGATAATGCGCCGAGATAAACTCGCTGCCAGACAAACACCGAAATTGATTGACGTGTCTTATACTAATTTATCACAATTACATATACATACGTAAAACGGTTGCATAAGCTCTTCCGTTAAAGCATGTATTAATTAATTGATGTTCGGTGTTAAATTGATGAGTCTTATAAGTCTAGGAAACGTCACACGTGAACATTAGAATTCTAAGGAGTGAGATTATATTTGGATTTCAAAAATCTATGAAGATTGACCAATATTAATTATTGGAGAACGTTGTGATTAATGATGCTACTGAAATAACCGCCATTTTTTATAGTTTGTTTCATAATTCTTTAGTGTATATAGTTAGAAAGACATCCGATAATATTCCGAATATATAAAAATATGTGTGTATGCATATATATTTTCGAGTCGGACATCTTTTACTATCGTTTGATTATAAAAAAAAAGATATGTTCCCACATTAAGATATTGCATCATAAAACTGCAATCGCATTTATCGATGATTTTCAAAATTTTTGTTATATTTTCATGGAATAGCTTAAAAGCACGCGTTTTGTTCTCTTTAAAAACGTTCTTATTAACGGAAAGAATAGTTTTGCTGAATTACCTAAAAATTTAATAAAAAATACGGGGAATAATTTGAAAATAATCTCGTTGAACTATTATTATGTAGGACGCTCAAGTTGCTTGCTCAAATATCAAAAAATTTCGCAGCATTTATACTTGAATTTCCTACATAATTATTTTAATGGTCCAACAAAATTATTTTCAAATGTCTATCTAGCTAAGTTTTTAAATATTTCAGCAAAATCGTTTTTCTATGCACGAATAATCTTACCGATTCCGCATAAGAAAAAACAACGAATTTGTTTTATTTAAAGTATCTAAAAATTACTAGCGTCCCATCATAAATAAGTAATGCTGCAAAGTTTTATTCTAACAATCAAAATAATTTTATATAATTATTTTGATGGTGTAATATAAAATTATTTTCAAATCTATATCTAGCTAAATTTTTAGATATTTTAACAAAATTATGCTTTCCGTACGCCGACTTCTCCGAAAGACAACAAGACCACAAGCGTAATTGTTGCGGTTTTCTAGATCTATTTATTCGATGACAGGCGTCCTTCTTTTCGTACCGTGAGGGGGCCTGAGGCTGCAATACTCGTTTACGACGGAACTGGACGAAACGAGATTGGGATCCCTAAGAGAAATGCGGATAAGAGGCCCGGTTGCGTCACGCGATTGCCCTGCCGCCGTCTATTCGTAGAGTCCCAATACCTTGAAGAATGGTCCCCCGCGATGCGAACCTCGCCTCGGGAAGCGGTTTTGCGGTTTTCGAGCTTCTCGAAAACGATCTTTCCTTTTCCGCAGCACGTACGCGCTCGGTTAGGTTCGTGTGGTTTTTAACAAGCATATTGTCCAATCGCGTTGAATAGTATCGTTGTTACGTCGCCCGGGGATCCGACACACCTTAACGACACGATTGTCGGCCCTCAGGCGAGGAATTAGCCGAGCGGTGCATTCGAAATGCGCACACATCGCCGGTGCACGAGAAACAAGCTCTTTATTCGCGAAGTCGACGACGGAGTCTGCAAGACCTCGCGCCTCATCTCTCCGCGTTTGTAATTCAATTCCGAGCGCGTCATACCTGAGATTCGCTTCTCGATTTCACGAGGCGACGACGACGTGACATTCGATACATAAAATTCGAAATTATTATGATTGACAATGTTGTCGTGAAGTTCTACTATAACGTAGAGTAAAATGTTAGAGAACTGCGTGTAGCTCCCTGAACGAAAAATCTATTTTAGGGATAACAATAAGAAAACTCGAAAATTTTATTGATTCAATATGATGCTATCAATCACACGATAATAGTATCTAGTCAGCAATTGATCTGGATTCCAATTGAACTTTGAAATTCTTACAATAACTTATTCTTAGTGCAAATGTGGACTGTACATAAGATTATATAGTGTTTTACTTTTTATTTGAAATACTAAGAGTACCTGGCTATTATAATGATACTCTATCTTTTGCTTTTTTTTTTTTTACTACACAACTTTATAAAGGTCTGCTTTCTAAAGATGTTAATGTACCTATATGTAAGAATCATTTAATAATTTTTACACATTTATAAAAGTGATGAAAATTAACCCGGACACGAACGACATGTGTAGTAAAGAACCGGAAAATCATACGTATTAAGGGTTAATTTCCATACACAGGATTTTTGTTGTTTACTTAAAGGCAGGTGCTAAATACCGGTACATCCCCAGGCTTTATACAGTTTTGCATATATTTCGAAATGAGCAGTAAGCATTTGTGGCCACGCACGTTGCCGTAATGTGGGTATTAATCCTGCCATCAAAAAACAGTACGGTTGTGCGCGCTATCGTAATTACCCCGAGTTGACACTTTATAAAATCATCAGGGTCGTTTACACCTCCTTCAGCCCTCCACCCTGGGGCAGCTGCAGCTAACTCGCTTATCGCCCGAAGCCGGCCTTGACGTGGACGACGTTTCCTTCGAGGTGCTCGACTTTCACCTGCTGCACGCACGCGCGCGCGTTATGCTAAGAATAATTTCGCAATCGTGCGTATATGCAACACCACCCATTCTCACCGGTGTTTCTGTTGGTATACGAGATCGTCGCGTTTCCGTAAACTTTAACCGACGCGATAAATCATCCGGAAAATTACCATTAGAGGGAAGTCCGACCACCCTGCCGGATAAGCGCGCACAACTATTTAAGTATCGATGGCGAACCGATCGACGATCTCTCCCTCGAGAACCGCCACCCTTAGTGATCCCTATCGCGCATTACGCTTGTATCCCATGAATCCCGTGCTTAGTGACTCATGTTTTCACGAGGATCGCGTAACGAACGAGTCAATTCGTGCGGCGCGTGTCACTTTCGGATATGGAACGCGTGTATCGCTATCGAAATTACCGCGACCGTATCGGAGTAACATTCCCATTTCGCTTCAAGTATATTTTTGAAACAGCGGCTGTATAAAACATGGTTGAAAAAAAGATATTGTTTAAAAATAATATTCAAAAACACACACATATAATTGTGAGAATGAATGTAATATTAAAAATTAAACATCTCATGATAAAAAAAAAATTTTTAGCATTGTAATGAAATAGAATTTATGTGTTCTCAATTCATTCGTTTTACAATAAACATTTTTGTAAATTATATTTAAGTAGAAATATTTTTCAATAAAACAACATTTACAATCAATAGAATAAACTAATTCATTTCTAGAGATATTGCTATTTAAAAAGAAATTTTCAGTATTTAATAAGTTGGTTCTATCGATCGTAAGTGTTGTTTTATTAAAACATTTCCATATTAATATAAATATTTTACAAAAATTTTTATCATGCATTTTCTTGCTTTTGATAGTATCACACTCTAAAATAGTGATGAGTTAGCAGAAGTCTTAAAAATTAACTATCTCATGAGATATTAATTTGGTATTGTATATGAAATAAATGGAGATTTTATGTATTCTCAATTCACTCCTTTTAAAAATTAATCCGCTCCAACTTCCATTAACTTCAATACATATTAAATAGCTCTGTAATTGACTCGCGACGTCCATCTTAGTAAATGCGCGTTCGTTCCTCTACATTAATTTTTTCGGCAATCAATTACGTCACCATCGTGTGGCCTCGGATATTAAGATCGTAATAATAGCAGCAATTAAAATGAAACCTTCGCTCGCCACATGGCCCCCTCTTATTACTCCTCGAGAAGAATTATCGCGGCCTAACCGATCCAAGTGTTTTCCTCCGTCATCTTTCACGATCGCGATAACAGACGTCCTAATTTTAGGACTGCGGATAATTTATTTTTGTTTCCAACAGATCGTCCACTTCTAATTCGTGAGTCTTGCGTCCGACATTACGGCACATTTCTCCGTCAAATTAGGCGGGAACAAACAAGTCCTCGATAGCCCATGACTAACGAGGCCGTAATCGCAGAAACACCTCAACCCCGAACCCCCTTGAACCATTCGTATATCTTTCCTCGCTTCACGAAGGGGGGACGGGATACAAGAGGGCCACCGACTGCCCCCCGAGGAAAGACCCGTCATGCCGGTGAAGTTAGTTACAAATGGATCACGGAAGCGCGCTGGATATATTATATCGCGATTCGACCTGAGTCAAACCTAAAATGTGTTTACCAAGCTAACGACTTCGTGCGCCAGGTGGGATTGCTACCTATTGTAATTATACCGCGGCTGTCACGCGTTTTACGTTCTGATGATCGTGACACCGCGCCGCCCGGCAGGATATTCGTGTTCCTATATGAAAAAAAAGAGACAACGAAGAGAAAGTGACTATTCGCTTTGAGACAATACATACACTGAGGTGCGTTCCAAAACTTAACTCTGTTGACTTCGAATATCTTTTATCCCTGTTTAACATTTAGTGAACAACAAACTTGGGTTGACAAAGTCGTTCTTCTTCAGCCGAAGATGAGAAAAATGGAATTAATCGAGAGTATTAATATTAAGTCTGAAAAGTTGATGATTGAGAACGTTGATTTTTTATGCGTACCGTAGACACATTTGTCAATTAATCGCATAAGACAATCTCTAACTCGTTCTCGAATTTGTCAGTTATTTTTGTTAATAGGTATTTTTTTCTCAAAACGTCCAACAAGATTGACACTTTAAATGATACGTAAACGAAACAGTTTTGTTGAAGTATCTAAAAATTTAACTGAATATAAAAAAATACTGAAAATAATTTTGTTGGACTCATTCAGTTATAAATTTCTTGGTTAATAATGTCAAACAATTCAATTTTCTTTATGTCACATCTACAAATTTAGATTATTTTTATTAAAATATACTTATATAAGTTTTCGTTTCTTTTAAATGCAAAAAAATGGTTTTGCTAAAGTATCTAAAAATGTATCTATATAATAGATACAGAGCTGAGAAAGTAATTTTGTTGGATCGTCAAAATAATAATGTACAACGTTATCATAGAATGTTATTATTTTAATGATAATACTACGAAATATGTTTTAACATTCTCTCTCTCTCTCTCTCTCTCTCTCTCTCTCT